TTTTTTTTTTTTTGTGGAAGTTCTACTGGTCTTTGGACCAATTCCAGGAGCCCTCCAGGAGGTTCTATTGACCTTTAAGAAGTTCCAAAGATCTGTAAAGAGGATCTAGCAGGCCTTGACGGGGATCTGCAGGTCACTGAATAGGTTTTAGAAGCCCGTAAGGAGGTGATGACAACTGATGATATATAGATATTAAAAGTACGTATAAGTCCTTGAAGAGGTTCAAGGGTCATTGAACCAGGTTCAGGTCCATGAAAATGTTCTAATGGTCCTGAAGAAGTTCTTTGAAGAACATCCTCTAATCTTTAAGGAAGTCCGTAACATCATTGAAGAGGTTCTTGGAGTCCTTGATGACAATAGTGTCTTTAAGGATCTACGATGAGGTTTTCGTGGACCTTAGCTGATCCTAAAGGAGGTTCAGTGTCCATAAGAAGGTTCAGGGGGTCCTGTAGAGGTTTTAGAAGTCTGTGAGGAGGTTCAGGTTTTAGAGGTGTAAGGATTTATATTTTGGTTCTTGAGGAGATTCTCATAATCAATGAACCAGTTCCAGGGGTCCTTAGGAGGTCCTTGGAGGGTTTCAGGTGTCACAGGAGGAGATGCAGCAGTTTCTGAGCTCGTCACTCTCAGATGAAGTCGTGTTTTTATCTGTTTCTGATCATTTTGTGTCTATTTGTTCTCACAGAAGCTTCACAGAATGTTCCAGTGATCACTGAGGACATTCTGATCAACCTTGAGGAGCTAGCAGAGGTCCTGGAGGAAACTTGTGAGTCTTTTTGAGGAAGCAACATGGTAAAGATGAGAGTAGGAAGCCTCTGAATGCTGCTGGCAGTAAAACCAGAGAGTACATTTAGATTTGAGCTTCCAGGACTAAACGTCTGGTCTGATCATGACCTTCATGTTGACCTCTGACCTGTCCACGCTGCCTTCAGTCACCATTTATTGTAATGATGTCACAGCACAGAGTCTGCAGCAGGAAATGACATCACTGTGACATCATCAGGAAGATGTCTGACATGTGAAGGGTCTGGACCGATGATGTCACGGCACATGACCGACCAACATGTTTATTAAAAACAGGAAAACAGTCTCAGAAGCCACAGAAGAAGACGTGACGTGTTGATAGAAAGAGGACGAAGGTTCAGAAACCAGATGAAGTGAAGGTGAACTTTGCTCCTCTGGTTGGTTTCACAGCATCTCAGAGTCACCGTGAGTAAAGTCTCACATTGTGTTCACTGAAGTCATGAATCATAACTCGGTTCAAGCCTCATCAGGATCCGTGATGATGAAGATACAGAAGAATAGAAACACAAGAAGAGAAGCGCTGGTGTTTTTCAGTGGAGCTTATGTTGCATTAAGAGGAGCTGAGCTCCGGCAGTCACACCCAGTTAGTAACACTGGGAACGCTGGGAGCACTGGGAGCTGCTGTCACCACTCAGCCGGCCTGAGAGGGAGGTTCAGCCAGCGCCGAGAACGTTCTGTCATGTGCAGGTCGTTTACAATCAAGTTACAGAAACAAATACAGCAAATAGATGAAGTCAGTTTCAGCCTTTCTGGTCATTTACTCTCTGTTTAGTCATGTGGTGTCTTTCTGGGGCTTTATTTTGTGTTTCTTTATGTTCATCTGGTGTTTTGTGGTCATTTTGCAGCTTTTTGTGTTTATTTTGTGGTAATATTATGTTTCTTTACCGTCATTTTGTCTCTTTTTATGGGCATGTTGTGTATTTTTGTGATAATTTTGTGTCTCAGTGCCTGTTTTGTGTGTTTTCTTCGGCATTTTGTGTCTTTTTGGACTTGGTTTGTGTATTTTTGTGTTCAATATGTGTCTCCTTTCAGTCATTTGTCTATTTTGTGGGCATGTTGTGTATTTTTGTGATTATTTGTATCCCTTTGTTTCTAAAACGTTTCCTGGATGTTGCACTGAGAGCCTTTGTCTATAATAGGTTCCTTGACAACATCCTAAAAACCTTCTCAGAACATCACAGACAGAAGGCTCCACCTTTAAATGAAAAAGTCCCATCACAGGAGCGTTATTGTTTTTAAATCATTCGATAACATCTAGAAAACGTCTGAATGTTGCTTTGAGAATGTTCTTTCTTTATTTTAGTAGAACGTTCTCTGAATGTTGACGTCACAACATTGTGTCTTGGTTCACCTTTAACTTCACGGGAATACTATTGGAAACGGTCAACATCCTGACAACGTTCTGAGAACTGTGGAACTTCTCTGATTTCAGCGTCTTTCTGGTTTCTGTCCTCTGTGACGGTAAACTGAACGTCTTTGGAGGAAACTCTGATCCACATTGTCTGACATTTTACACCAAACAGCTGATTGATTCTTCCATAAAATGATGAACAGATTAATCAAAAGTGAAAGTGATCTTTAACTGCAGCTGATGAATCCATCTGAATGTGATGTGTTTGGTGTAACACCTGCTCTGACTGTTTCCAACCTGTTTTCAGGTATTTCAGGGGACTTCCTTGTTCGACAGGCTGCTGTAGTTATTAATCCACTGGTAATGGAGGCTGCAGCTCACATTTAAAAACTGGAACTAGTTTCATTCTGACTGAAGCTCAGCTGAAGTCATCTCAGGTTGTTGCAGTGTTTTATTCTGCAGTGGTTTTCTGTTTTTTGTGGTCATTTTCAAGCTTTTTGTGTCTTTATTTCGTCGTTTTGTGTGTCTTTAGGGTCATTTGGACTCTGTTTTCATTATTTTGTGTCTTTATTTGGCCGTTTTGTGTCTCAGATGAAGTCATGCATGTTTGAACTCATCTGACCAACCTCACATTACATAAACAAACCCACAGCAAACAGCCGCCTTCTATTGGTCCACTGACACGTCAATCACAGGGGGCATTGCATCACTCTGCCGCGCTCTCCTCTGTGATTGGCTGACCGCCCCATTGGCAACCGCCTCCACGCCTGTGATTGGCTGACCGCAGACATTGCCGTACATGGTAAAAGAGATTTCGCAATCGGCTGCTCTCCATGTTCCAAACAAAAACACTCCGAGCTCCGACACACGGAATAAACTCCAACTTTCTGCGGGAACTTTGTCCACTTTGACGGATGGTTGAGTCCTCCGCCGCCCACTGAAGGTAAGCCGAGTTTCAGCGTCTAAAATGAGCGTCAGCAGCGAGCTGACGGCGGGTTAGCCGCGGAGCTAGCAGCTAGCTGGCTGCCTGCCCGGCTCAACGGCGGCGTTTGTCGGGTGAAAGTAGAAACGTGTCTCCGGCTGTGTGTGGAGCTCAGCGGGACTCTGGGGAGGGTTTAACGGAGGCTCTGTGTTCAGCCACCAGGCCGCAAATCTGAATTTACTCAACTAAAAGTTGTCAAAGTGCCTGAAAATTCCGATTTCACGGAGCCGAAGCTCCAGTTTGGCTACTAATCATCCGTGTCGGGGTGTTTCGGGTGTTTCTGTGTGCGTCGGGGCTCGCTCCGGTCACCTGGCCGCCCAGGTTAGTGCTGAGCCCCGCATGACTCCGGAGTTCCCCTCCGACGGCACAAAGAGCCGCTCCGATGATGCAACAGCGGGCAACATCTCTGCTGTTTGCACCCGGAGCGCTTTTCCCTGCGCACAGCTGACTGGCTGCATAGCAACGCCTCGGCCAATCACAGCCGCGCTGCTAATTAACCGTAGAGAGCAATAATCCGACCAATTAGAGTCAGAGGGCCGCTGGAGGAGGAGGAAGTGATGTAGGAGGTGGTGAGCAGGAGGAAGGAGGTGAAGGAGGAGGTGGAGGAGAACAGCAGATGGATGAAGGAGGAGGACGTGTGAGATGAAACCTGACTGATGGATTGAGGTTAGCAGAGAATCTGCAGCTCAGAACAACGTTTTTTTTTGGTTCTTGTAGAACCTCAGAGGTCATTGATGGAACCAGAACCTCTCAGGGACAACATGTGGTTTTAGTTTTGTGTTGAACAACAGCAGCCAGAAGATGGAATTAGATGAAACATCCACACGGCTGAATATCACAGATAGATGATTGTTATTGTTGTTAATCCTCTGTGACACACGACAACGTCAATTCCTGATCACAGCTGTTGTGATATTTGTTTGCGTTTTGATCTTCATGGATGCAGACAGAGAACCTGAAATATTTCCATTTAAGTTCTTTTTGCAGCCAAATCTTCCTTCTCAGAGTTTCTCTCTTTTTGATCAGTTCGCTGCAGTTTCAGAACAAATCCCAGATATTTCTGAAAACAAACCATCTGCTGCTTTTCTTTGTCACAGAACACTTTTGAACGGACCTTTATCTGATTCTGTCTCCTGGATGATGACAGTGATGCAGAGGTTGTGAGCAGCTGATGAAACCTCCAGAAAACGGTCGATGAAGCTGAACTCAGGGTTACGTGATGCTCAACCTGTTCTCTCACTGCAATCGATCGGTTTATTGATCATCAGGCTGATCTATGTGATGCTAACAGGAAGTCTGATTCAAGATCAGATTCTTGGTTTTCGCCGGTTTACAGCCAGCACACGATCAGTTTATTGATGAGTTACTGATTCTTTAACCAGAAACATGAATGTTTAGAAAACAGGTGAATTTTTGATGTTTTTCACAGTTTCCTTACATATTATTGATTTATCATAAAGAAACCATCAGCAGAATAAATCATGATAAAAACAGACTAACAGACTGCAGCTGTTGATCTGATGGTGGTTCAGTCACTGGAGGCGAAGCAGCACCTGATCACTGAGTATTGATGAGCCGATCAGCTTAGTTATTAATAATATTGATCATTCTAGTAATAATAGTCTCATAGGGTAGTTTTATAGAATCCAGACTACAAAGTGTCTCCTGCAGCAGCAAGAGGTTCATCATCAGGAGACCATGAAGCAGCAGTTAGACGTAGAACCAGTGAAACGTGAAGATCGATGAAAGAAATGAAACCTGATGAGCTACAAACCTGCTGTCTGCTCTCCTGGAGCTCTTGTTTCATATATTTCTAATTATTGGATCTTAAAAATGGAACAAAGTTCCAAACCTCAAACCGGTGTTGATCCAGAAGGTTCCTGTCAGTGTCTATCTATGGATGGATCCATGGTTCCACTAGAATCCAGTCTCTGGTCACATTTCACCAACTGCTGAGGCTCTAACATCAGCAGAACCTGATGTGGTGAAGTTGGACCAGACAAGGTTCTGGTTCTACATGTTTAGACTAAATGTTGATCATTGGTAGGAACCAGAACCTGGAGTTCACAGGTTCTAGGTGTTGGTTCTAGGTGTTGATTCTAGGTGTTGGGTCTAGGTGCTGGGTCTAGGTGTTGG